ATGGAGAATGGATGTTAGGGTTTTTGAAGACAGGAGTAGGGCTTTCTCTTTCAAATTGGGCCAGCAAATTTCTTTAAGAATGGGTCCAAGTTGGGTCCAAATTTGATGGCCTATTCATCATTTATTTTTTTTTTCGTTGCTTCTTTCTTTTCTTTTTCTTTTTCTTTTTTTTTTTTAGATTTCCCCCTCAATTTTTTTTTTTTTCAAATAAGTGCTGGAACATTAAAACAAAACAAATTAACAGTAAAACAAAGTTAAAAAAAAAAAAAACCATTGGCTAAAAAATAAGATTATAATAGCCACTTATTGGATTAATACTTTCTTCATCGACATCGACTTTGGCTTATTGGATTAAATATCACAATATTGAATTCACAACCTGGGAAAGAAACATCACATAAGACTTCTCAATAGGAAAAAGAATCAGCGCAAGCAATATTACTTTGGTAAATAAAGTATGCTCCAAAGTAAAAAATCTCGCCAAGGTTAGAAAATGAGAAATCAAAGGTTATTGATGCAAAAAATGAATAGAATATATCAAGATAAGGAAATAAAAGGTGAGAAAATGGGATTGGAGAACCATAAATTGAAGGAGAGAATGGAGAATAGGAGGGGCTGAGATTATTGACACAAAGGCTCTTCAATTAGAAGGTGAAAGTCAAAACTTAGAGGATGGAGTGCAAAACGGCATCGTAGGACTAAAAATCAATCTAATTAGAACGTAATGGAATCTCTTAAAAGTTGGGAGGCCGAGCAGATGAATGTTTTACCAAATATATACAAGGAGTTGATCACTTCTTTTTACAGTTTTGCCCTAGCTTAGTTCCTTTTCGTAATTTTTTTATCGACATTCATACGCAATGTAATTGCCTGATACATTAATAAAAATATTTAATTTAAAAGTTAAACTTATTTTTAGAATACAAGTACAAAATATACCAAAAAAAAAAACAAATTTCAACAATTACACAATAAACCACTCTTAAGAAAACAAGAAACCTAGGTTTAAAGATTTTAAATTTCAAGAAACACATTGAGTATTGTTTTGTGGTAAAGACTTAATTAGCCTAAAAATAAAGTTTGAGGGTGAAATTGGACAAAAAGGAAGTTTTAGGCCTAACAACCCAAAATTACTCGTATATCCTTGTACCTCCAGCTGCCTTCTTGACTTCCTCTTACACTTGGCAAACGAGCAGGTTGAGTCGGGTTTGGGTCGGGTTAACTTGAATGACGGGTTATGCGAGTTGGGTTATAAATGGGTTACGAGTTGAAAAAATCTAACCCTAATCTGACCTTAACGGGTTACGGGTTAACCCGCGGATTGGCCTTATTTTTATTCTTTATAATTATTTTTTATTAATTTTATTATATAGAAATAAAATTATATAAATTTAAATCTAATTA